ATTTGTTGAATCTATTTTCCTCTGGTTTTAGTCCATTGGAAGTATTTGAGCCCACAGGTGATTCTGCCCTTCATGGGTTTTGCTGACCCCTGTGAAGAGCAGTTTCTGGATCTTGGAAGCTGAACAAGCGACTGCAGTCTTAGAAGGCCTCCTGCAAGTCAAGACGTGTTTTGTTTTTATGTATGTTTTTAGGAGACAGGGCCCTGCTCTGCAAAAGCTGAGAAATAAATCTGAATGAACTTTTCTAAGTTTGAATTTCTATCACTGAAAACCAGGAGAATGGCGGAGACATTAGGTTTTAGAACTAAAGAATTTAAAAATTTTAAGACCTGGATAGGTTCGCAAGGTAGGCCAAAGTTTTGTAGTGAAGTACAACATAACTAAAAATGCAGAGTTGTGCACTTTTTTCATTAAAAAATAAAGCCAAAATATAGCTTGTAAAAGGTCAGACTCAACAGATACTTTCAAAAAGGATAAATATATAGTTTCCAACAAGTGAGTCTCTAGAGGGATAGTACCATAGAAGCAACATAATGTTAGGTTGTATACTAGAAATATTAGTGTTGTACTTGATACTAAACATTTAAAAAGGTCCTGGGCATTCTCTGGGGGTTGTTGGTAAGCCAAGTGAGCTCAGGGTGGTAAAACATGCAGATACAGAGATGTAGAACTACCGTACACAAAAAGATGATATGTGTGCATGTGTGTGTGATACTGGGGATTTAACCCAGGAGTACTCTACCATTGAGTTATATTTTCAGCCCTTTAAAAAATATTAAATTTGGGCTGGGGATATAACTCAGTGGTAGAGTTGCCTAGCATGTGGGAGGCACTGGGTTCGATCCTCAGCACCACATAAAAATAAATATATAAAGGCATTGTATCCATCTATGTAAGTAAATAAGTAAACCAGTGAACAAATAAATAAGAACTTTAAGTTTAAGACAGGGTATTGCTAAGTTGCTGAGCCTTGCCTTGAACCTACTATCCTCCTGCCTGAGTAGTTGGACTTGTAGGTCTGGAACTGTACCTGACAGTAAGAGGAATATTTAACAAGGAAAAAAAATTTAGAGGAAGGAACATGGTAGCTTCATGTACAGAATTTGTAGTACATCAGGGGAATAGGGATTTCTCTCATTAGATCTAAAGATCAGATCAAGTGTTATCAGATGGTTGAAAGAAAGAAATTACTGCAAGAAGAGATTTTTATTTCATATACCTGTCACAAATGTTGATCACTTGCTTGTTTGTCCGTCTGCCCCATTCTTTCTCCTGATGGAACCTTGATTTTATCATGTGGCTTCCTAGTATAACTTTGTCTTTCAAGAAAGGTACAATCTTGGTAGTGGTAGGGGAGGTGGGAGAGCAAATTGTGATTGATGCCAACCAATCGGGATAGACCCATTTTCCTTACCCAGCTGTACCTCTGTTCAAGAAGACATTTTCTTAGTCCATTTTCTGTGGTTGCAACAAATTACCTGAGGCTGTATACTTGAAAGAGAGAGTTGGAAGAGTTTACTTATTTACTTCCAACTCAGAGTTGGAAGAGCATAGTGCTAGCTTCTGTTAGGATTCTTTTAAGGGTTTCATGCTGCATTGTATTACAGTGGGAAAGCAGAAGGAAGGCAAGTGCAGGTGGAAGAGTACATGCCAGAGAGGGGATGGAAGAGACTGACCTGTTTCACAACCTGACATTCCAGCAAGAACTAATACAGTCTCAAGAAGAAGACATTACACCCTTTATGTGCATGTTGGCTCCACCTTCTTAACAGTCCTACTGCTTCTCAATACCATTACAGTGGGGGCGAAGCCTCAGCATGAGTCTTTTTGGGAATAAGCTATATTCATATTATAGCAGACATGTATTAGAGGTCTTTTGTGAGTAAGTATTGACTTCAATAAAAAGACTCAAGAAGAAATGATCTTTCACTGGACATTGTCATGTCTGAAATGATGGAAGCCATCTTGAAACTGTAAGGATTGCTAAACCATGAGCTGATGACAGAGTGAAAAGATCAGGCCAGGCTCTGGGTGGTGATGTTGACTATATTGGTGATGCCTGACTTTGGGATTTCTTATCATTGAAAAGTAGAAAACAAATGAGTGGCCTTCTCATGAAGTCGTTAGTGCATTGTGATACTGTTGATTTGTCCTAAATTACATAGTACCATTATGACTTCTAGCAGAGCTACTCTGAAATGGAAAAGATTGTCTTCCAAGGAAGCAATCTTTGTCCTTCAAGATGTTAATCAAAGGGCTGGAGATGTGGCTCAAGCGGTAGCGCGCTCGCCTGGCATGCGTGCGGCCCGGGTTCGATCCTCAGCACCACATACCAACAAAGATGCTGTGTCCGCCGAGAACTAAAAAATAAATATTAAAAATTCTCTCTCTATCTCTCTCTGTCTCCTCTCTCACTCTCTCTTTAAAAAAAAAAAAAGAAAAAGATGTTAATCAAAAATTGGCAGGGCACGGTGGCACATGCCTGTGATCCCAGTGGCTCAGGAGGCCGAGGCAGGAGGATCATAAGTTCAAAGCCAGCTTCAGCAAAAGTGAGGAGCTAAGCAACTCAGACCTTGTTTTTAAATAAAATATAAAATGGGGATGAGGATGTGGCTCAGTGGTCAAATATCCTTGGGTTCAATTCCTGGTCCCCCCCCCCAATTTTTTTTTTTTCACTTAATAAGTTGGGATACCAACATTGGGGAATTCTGGAACAAATGACTTAGAGCCTTTGTCACCGGAAGAGTCAGGCTTTTACCATTTTAAAAGAACAATAATGAAGTGATCCATAGTTGAGACTTGAAAGGAGCTAGATGCACGTATCATTCCAGTTATAATCTTCTTTGTTCTCCAAGGACCTTGGCTTCCATTGAGGGGTGGAATTGCAGCTTGACTTCATCACCTGAAGGAGCCCATTTTCCTTTCTCTGGATATTTCATCTCTAGCTTTATCATTTCCAGAGAGGACGAGAGGAGAAATAATAGTTTTGGTATAAATGTTCTTTTCAGTTGTGACAGATGCATTGATTATGGAAAGAAGAAGGTGTCATTGATAGATGTCGGATCTGCCTTATTGCAGATACTTAAATAATCTTTTTGGTTTATAGTTTTTCCTTTTGGAAAATGGAGCATTTATTATAGTCTTACTAATAGTGGATGTTTTAGGGACACAATGAAATGATAATATTTTATAAAATAATGATAGCAGCAGGCATTTTTTACAATTGTTTTGTGCTATTTGATTTCCTAAGTTGAGAGTACATTATTATATTGACGTTACAATAAGGAGTTTATTATTAAATTGATGTCTCTTTACCCTTTGAATTTCAGGATGAAAATGAGAAGGTAAACAGAGACTGAGTATCCCTTATCCAAAATGTTTGGTATCAGAAATGTTTTCAGATTTTGGAGATTTTTTGGATTTTGGGATATTTGCTAGGCTTAACCAGTTGAGCCAGCTGGCTTGCCTCCTCCCACCTTCCCTCCCTCCCTCCCTTCCCTCCCTCCCTTCCTTCCCTCCCTTCCTTCTTTCTTTTTTATTTTTTAGTTGTCACTGGGCCTTTAGTTGCTTAGGGCCTTGATAAGTTGTTGAGGGTTGCTTTGAACTTGCAATTCTCTTGTCTCTTTCCTTCTGAGCCATTGGAATTTCAGGTGTGCACCACTGTACCCGGCAAAAAAATGAGTATTTTTTATTTACTCTGAATTAGCAAAAACATCAAATTGTTTTTCAGGCCTGTGATTTTCATTTAATATCAACAAAAACATACAGAAAACCCAAAGGCCACCATATAGTGTGATATCTAAAATGTGCAAATATATTTTAAAATGCAGGTTACTATAGCATTGCAAGGTAGAACTTTGTAGTAATTAAGGAATCTCTTTCATTCTAGCTAAGTTAATAACCTTTTTCATATATAGCCAGTGCAGGTATACAAGGCACAACTAGCGATTATTTACTTGAAGATACTAAAATAATGTCATGTTTATATTTTACGATTAAATAGGACGTCATTTCTAAAGCTTTCTTGAAGCATTATCTTGAAAATATATATGGCCTGAAAAAAAAAAAAAGAGAAAGAAATATATGTGGCCTGGACAAACTGTTCTTTGAGACACACAGACACACACACACACACACACACACACACACACACACACACACACACACACACCTCCCTAGAAACACAGAAGAAACTTTCCATAATCCAAAGAGAAGCCATTTTCTTATTAGCAAAGTTTCACATTACAGTATGTGACACTTATTTTAAAAATGTATACTTACCACCTGTTTGGTCAGTCTTGCTTCAAAAAGACACTGAAATAGGCAGTTTTCTTCTTTAAGGTAAAGACAATGCCTAATTTAGAATGTCTTTCTCTTGAGATCACACAGTGAAAGGTATCACTTTTAAATATAAAAGCTTGCTGCCCTTAAAGAAATTAGACCTCCCCAGAAAAAAAAAAAACAGCCTATTACAAACCAATAAGACACTGGCTACAATACAATTCAGAATCTTTCTAAATTAACCACAGTACTCTTGTTGTTTTATTGACCATTCCTGAGAGTAAAGAGACTTATCATTTTAAATTTTTTAGTACAGTAAATAAATTTTACACTAAGGAGAATGTTTAAGATTTTTTTCCCCCAAATGGTAAAGCCTTATTTTAGTAAAAGAAAATTATAAATGCTCCTTGCAAAAACTATCACTCAAAAATTTTGAAAATATTTGTACATCTATAAATGTTAAATATTCTTTACTGGGTAATTTGTTTTTATGTCAGTCACACATTGCTCATTTCCTTATAACCCATTATATTACAATTATTGTTAATTAGAGCATTTACTAGATAACGGAGGAAAATACATTATAAAACTTAAATGAGGGGCTGGGGCTATGGCTCAGCAGTAAGTGCACTTGCCTGGCATGTGTGCGGCTGGGTTTGATTCTCAGCATTGCATATAAATAAATAAATAAAGGTCTATCAACAACTTAAAAATATATGTATTAAAAAAAAAAAACCTTAAAGGAACTCTGAAGTGAGATGTATAAAAATATTCATGGATGTCCATTCATGTCATTTCAGTGGCTCTGAGATCCAGGACAGTAGGGTTTTAGAGATCATCTGGGATGTTAGAATCAGCTCAGGTGGGTCCACAGGCCTTTTGGAAATGAGAAACTCCACTTCTCTAACTGGTGTACCTACAATGATACCATCATCATACCTCTGAAGTACCACTGGTTTTCTTCCCATGCTCTCAGGAGTCTGCTTCTGTTAGGTTGTTTGGAGTGGTGTCCAAGTGTAGTTTAAACATTGCTGCCCAGGCTGGGCACAGTGACAGAAGTCTATCAACCCAGCAACTCCTGTAATCCTAATGAATTGGGAGGTTTAGGCAGCAGGCTCACAAGTTCAAGGCCAGTCTCAGCAATTGAGTGAGGGCTTGAGAAACTTAGACCCTGTCTCAAAGTAAATAAAATTACAGGGGTGGGTGCATACCTCGGTTGTAAAGTGCCCCTGCGTTCAGTCCCCAGTACCCCGCCCCCCAAATCCCCAGAAACGAAACAACAAACAAAAGCATTGCTGCATAGGCATGGTCTTCTAGCAAAGGAATATAAATTTGTTTCTCAGATGTTCAACCAATGGCATAATCTAGAACACAGTGTATATTTGTAGCTCCCAAAACCTTATTTTTATCTTAGGTTTGAAGTAGAAATTCTATCTTAATTCTGTGTGCAGCTTCACTTTGACTGAACCATACAGAGGGTCCATTTCATCAGTGAAAATAGTGGAAGTCTTGTCTTTCTGGCAAGTTGGAGTAAGTACTTAGAAGTTTTCACTTTCACATAGCCACATAGAAACAAGGTTAGGAGAAGATCTGAACAAAATGTTGAGTTGTTTGCTTCTGTTGCTAAAGCTCAACATTTTGTTCAGATCAAATAACATTTTTCTGTACTAGATGGCCCAAATAATAGGGATCCTTTCCATGGTGCCCATGTAATGATGAGATTTAATAGCAATTTCACAGCCTCTTTGAGTGCTTATTTGGCTCCTTCAAGAGGGCAGCATCACTCCATTTTCATTTGGTTACTTTATATCAGTAACATCTTAAAATGGATTCTGCAGTTTCTTTGTTTCAGGATCACCTGATTCTCCTTCTCCATTCCTGTGATTCATCATCAGCTGGACTTGATTGTCCATGTTTCACTGTTTTCCTGGTTTTCTGTCTATCCTTCAGATGCTTCTTTAATTGTTCTGCTCTATCAAGAAATTCTGTGCACCCTGCCCCATACTTTGGTTGGCTTTATACAGCTTTGTCTTCTTTTGCTGCTTTGCTTGCAAAATCTATTGTTTTCTGGAGGCAGGTTCCAATGAACGCAGTGGTGGAAACCCAAGGAGGGTTCTTAGAGATAGAGGAAGGTTGAAGAAAGCCAATAGCAGTCATGTCTAATGGCACCCAGTTAAAGCCACAAACCTTAGGAGGTTGGTGTCTCTTTTGTACCAAGCAGTGCCTTCTGTTTCAGAACTTATAAAATAGCACTGCGTCACACCAGCTGGGAACCTCCTCCAGACAGACATCAGATTTAAGTCGTTCTTACTGGTAGTGTCTTAATGTTGTCTTGTTTTATGTTAGAAATAAGGCAAGGAAGGTTTAAGTTAAAGTTTCATTCCTAATGTGGCCCAGATGTGCACAGCATGGGAAGCAGGGAATGCTTTCAATGTAGTGTTGTGAAACTTGCTTGGAAACTTCCATATACGTTTTCTTTCTAATAAAGCTTCTTTGGCTTAAGCTCTCAGGAAAATAAATTTAATGTAGGTGATTAAAAACGTGGCAGTCTTGGTTGAATATATCACAACATTTCAGAAGTTGGGAGATGAACTCAAAAATAGACAGATGTGTCATCTGGAATGGTGACATAGCTGGGAATTTTGTAGGCTTCTTTTTTAACTTCCTAGTTTTAAACTTTAACTCTCCCAAGATTCATTCTGTTAGGAAACTTTCTGCTTTCTAACCCCAGACTCCATCTCTTTCCCTGATAATAACCCAGCCTCCCTCCTTCCCTTCTTTCCTTCCTTCTTTTTTTTTTTAAACAGTGACTAACCCTAAGCAGTTAGTGCATAGGGAAGAATCTGTCTTTGGCATCTCTCTGCTGTCTCTCTTTATGTCGCGCATTTCAGATCTGATGTATAGGGTTCTTGTCATCTTGCTCTCAGGGAGCCATATTGATCTTTCCTGGGTAGTGACAGACTCCAGAACATCTTCATTATGACCCTGCAACAAAACTTATCAATTCCATTTCCTGCCTTAAGTAAGTGCCCATCTGTTCTCGTAATTAATCTTGTACTCAACCACAGAAATGTGTTTTTAAGATCTTAATGCAGTTATCCTTTTCCCTCCCCTTGATTTAAAAGTATATCCTCCTCCAGCTCCCAGGCGAGTCTGAGGACATAGCTGGACATTGCTGGGCCCGGGTGTCCACAGCCTCTGTGAAGGTCTCCTCTGCACTTGTGGATGGCTTGATTCTGCATTTCCATTCTTGCTGTGCGCTCACACAAGGCCCATGCTGCGTTTAACAGGTTCTTGTTGCCATCTTGAGGTTCATAATCATTTTTAAAAGTGCCCTTCATTTTCATTATGCACTAGGCCCTGGAAATTATGTAGTAGCTACCCTTTCAATGAGCTTTTATTCATGGCCTGCTTTCTCTCTTCCTCTTGTGTTCAGCATCCCCTTGGTGGGCTTCCTGTGCTACCCACATATCACTGTGTTTTTAGCTTTTTTCTTTTCATTCATGTTCACCTCAGCCAACCCTAAAGTGTTGCTGCACTCAAAGAGTTTAGTTTTTACAATTGCTTGGTCAGTTGAACAGTCGGTGTAGTTTCTTGAGCTTTGACAGAGATTTTTATTCTAATTGTGTTGAGGAGCCTCTGTAATAATTATCTTCAGCTTTTGCCTGTGACTCTGTACTTCAAGAAATGAGTGCTTGCTTATAGCCAGTTACGTTCTGTGTTTGATTGAAGTATGGCTGTGTTCACACTGAGCTGGCCTTGAAGCTCTGAGTTATATGATCTTGAGAGTCCCTCTGAGATTAAGCGTAGAAACTTAGCTATAGCCAGGTCCTGGCTTACTGTTTAGCAGATGGAGGGTTCAGTTTCCATATTGGTAAAATGAATTCTTCATGTAGAATTGTATTGAAGTTTTTTTTCTCCCCCTTGAGTGATACAGTTTTATATGTAAATGTCAAAAAATTAGAATCATTCTAGGAGGGAAGATAGAAAATAAATACGTCAGAGTACAGTCTTTGGTAGTAAATTGTGCTAGCAAGAAAGCTCACACAGGATAAAGAAGGGGCTACAGATTGGTTGGGGTGGAATCAGTGAGCAGAGCTGTTTTTGTTGGGTGTGTCTGGATGGTCCTCCCTGAGGAAGGATCATCTGAGTAGATAGTAAGGTGCTAAGCCATGGACAGCATGAGGGAAGAGGAGTCCCAGAAAAGAGAGGAGAGCATCAGTTCTGGTACTTGGTGGTGGAGACAACTGAAACATGAAGAACTGTTGCAGTGCATTTTTTTCCAGGTAGTATCTGCCAATCAACAAAAAGAAGAATAGGATGTTTTTTTTCTTTTTTCCTTTGGTCCTTTTTTGGAGGGTAGCGGTGTTGGTGTTATGTTCTTCACGAAGATTCAACCTTTTAAAAAAGCCAAAGTACAGATATTAATATATATTATGTGTGTGTGTGTATATATATATATATATATATATATATATGTATGTATTCAGGACCTTCAGTGTCTAAGGGAGTTTGGTTCTAGGCGATACCCAAATCCTCAAGTCTCTTGTATAAAATAGTGTAGTATATGCATAAAAATTACCCAATCTTCTGAGTGATTCTTTGAATTATTTGTAGGTTACTTCAAATACCTAGTACAATGTGAATGTTATATAAATAGTTGTTATGTTGACTAGGAAATAATGACAAGAAAATAAGTCTGTTTATGTTCAGCACAATTTTTCTTAAGTGATTTTTGCTCTGCCATTAGTTGAGTCCATGGTTACAGAACCCATGGATACAAAGGGCCCATTTTATAGCGATGTATCTTAAACTCTGCACAGTTTTTAGTCATCATATGTACCAGCTATGATTATGTCTCTTCTTGGATCTACTTTGAGTTTGGTGATGGTATTGTTGAGGAAACTAACAGGCTTCAGATTGTATGTAGAAGATGGTCCTAAAGGTACCGTCATCCAAGTTTAACTTTACAGTAAGAGCATAAGTCTGCAATGAGATGGTTGTTGGCAACTTAAACCAAGTTGTCAAGAAAAAATACATATATATTTATACTTCTTTTAAATTTAATAAAGGAGAAAACTTGGGCACTGATTATTACAAAAATATTGTAGTTGATACTGGTGCAAGGTAAATACATACATCAGTGTAGCAGAATTGAGGCTTCAAAAATAAACATTTATGGTTAATTGATAGCTTTTATGAACAGTTTTGTTATTGTGCAGGATATTGTGTCCTTTGAATTTGAAATACTTAAATTGTAACATAGAATTAATAAATTTTGTTTATTCCATTGTTAGATAATAGTTCCATACTGTTCCATTTTTGTTGCCTAGCTTTCAAAACCCCTGGGAACATAACAGTACCAGCACTACATACATAGTGTCAGACTTTAGAAGATGATGCCCATGGGTAGTTGTTTATTTGAGGGGGAACTGTAGAATGCTGACTTAAAACAGTGTTGTTCTAGGAGATATAGGTGGATGATATTTTAAGAGTTTTCCTGAACTGGGGATGTGGCTCAGTGGTAGGCCTGGGTTGAAGCCCCAGCACTACAAACAAACAAACAAACAAAATCTTTCCCAAAAGTTGTTATTTGACTTTTTAAAGTTCTTACAGATACTTTGTTAGGCCGTTTTTGTTATTTGGAACTAGTGTTTATTTTTATGCCCATGATAAGAACATCAACAAATCTGAGTTTGCTTACTTATGTAGCTGGTATGTGAAGGCTACTTGAATACTCATAGTTGTTTTAGGTTAGTTTTCCGTTGGGAGTCTCAGATAGCTTTCCATTACGTTTACATTTTTACTTTGTGTGTCTTTTAAAGTCCTGCATTATTAATATTTTTAGTGTTAAGCTAACCACATAGATAATGTGTATTGAGTACACTTCTTATACCCCCAATTGTTTTCAAGTGCTAGTTGCCTTAAAGATAAGATTACCACCCTGTGCACTGTTGATAGGAATGTAAACTGGCATTATTGTGGAAAACAGTAATAGAATGGCCACATGACTCGGCAATTCCACTTCTGGATATATACCCCCCAAAATTGAAAGCAAAGACCTAAAGAGAGATGTACAACCATGTTCATAACAGCATTATGCATAAGAGCCTAAGTTGGGAGCAGCCCAAGTGTCCATTGATGCATGAATGGAATATCACCACAGGGCTGAACTTTGAAGGTATCATGCTAAGTGAAGTCAGCCAGTCAGAGATACACTGTATGATTCCATTTTTGAGGCCCTATGTTATTACAGAGACAGAAAGTAGAAAAGAGGCTAATAGAAGCTAAAGGGAAGAGGAATGCGTCCAAATTGCAATATGAAAAAAGTTACAGAGATGGATATGGTGATGATATAACATGTTAATGTGCTTAATCCTATTGAACTGTTTGCTTAAAGATGGTTAAGATGATAAAAGCAGCAATAACCACAAACCCATATTACTTAATTGTAATTTTACTTCAGGTGGGAAAGACAAATAATTGCTACTGAATTGTGGGGTGAGGAGTGAGTGGAGTTGTAGGTGACCCAGAAATGACAGAATATTGATAATTGTTAAATAGGGTGAAAATCCATAGTTCTGTTCTATTTGTATATACTTGAAGATTTCCCTAAGGCAAAAATTTAAAAACTACTAATTGATCAATTCAGTTTAGAAGAGTAAATTTGTCATTGTGGATTTACTGTGGCCATTCACCTTTTCCATAACTGATGGATGTGTCCCTGGAGGAGAGATGTGGACTGGTACAGAATGGAGCAAGGGTGAGCCTTGGGATGGGAGGATGTTGCTTTCCAGTGTGCAGGCAGGGAAGGGAGCTTCTCTTAGAAAGTCCTCTCGGCTGCCCTCCTTTGTGTTGGGACAGTTACTGATGGAACTAGGAAAATATGAATATGTTCAGTGGTCATTCATGTTGTTAATTTCTCATGATAGGCCAAAATGGTCATGCTTGTTGCCATGTTGTTGGGAACTTCAAAAAAAAAGTCTCAGTTACTGACCATTGTGAGGTCAGTAATGTGAGAAACACTGTGGTGTCCACTTCCTGGAGCATAAGTTTATCATGAGCAATGCTGTATTAAGACTGTGAGATTCTCATCCATGGCCTGGAGACAGGTACTTTTGTTTTCATCGTGGTTGGAATATGCCACCCACTTACAAGCTGTTCTAGTTGTTAGTCTAATAATTTCTTTTAGAGAACGCAGTTCCTTTCACAGGACTGAGGCATCAAAGGCCTGTAAAACATCCTGATTTATTACCAAGAGAACCAGACATAGGAAGGTAGAAGTATTCTGATGTATAGACACTTTGAGCTTCAAATATACAGTCTGATCTTTGAGCCATTTTAAACAGAACATGAAAAGGATAAGAATTTTATCAGTAGCATTTAAATTTTATAACATAGTAATAAAAAAAGATGATTTGGCAATTTAGTACAAGAATACGAGAGTACATTTTTATTTGCTTTGTGTAAAAATCCCTGTGTTTAACTGATGTTTTGGGCTAATTCAGCACCACTCAGATCATCCTGTGGCTACTGGGATTAAAAAGTCTGCCAAGAACTGAAATACCTACCTTTTGTTCTGTGTCCCCACACTTTTGATGATCCCTGTCAGTCTGCTGGCATTTCATTTTGGAGTGGGTTTCTTTTAGTTTTGAGTGGTTTTGAAAGTGTGTTCATATAGTTACTGGTCATCTTTTTCCCCTTGGTGAATTATCTGTAGTTGTTGCACATATTTCATTGGTTGTTTGCCTTGTTTTGGCAAATTCTAAAAACTCTTGTCTTTATTAATATTGGCTACAAGTATTTTTCTCAGTTTGTTTTGTTTTTATGTATTTTTTTGTTATGATATTCTACCTTTAAAAAAAACAATTATATCCTTTTTTGACTTCTAGGTTTAACATCATTGTTAAACTCCTTCCTGTGCTTCAAAAGGTATTTTTGAACATTTTACCCATGTTTTATTCAAGTATTTTTATTTATTTATTTTACTTTAAATGTGCTGTGTTTGAAACATACTTTGGCTTAAGCAGTAGGGTTGTCTTCCAAATGGCTAGCTATTTGTTTCGATGCCAGTTTCTGAGCCCTCTGTCTTACTCCCACAGAATTCTTAAATTTGAGGTTTTTCTGACTGGTGAATGTGTTGGGCTTAATGTCGTATACAGATGGCAAGGTGAATGTTGAGTTAGTCTCCCACATAAGGTAAGAAAGCTGCTGGCTTCTGCTTGGATGAGGAGCCAAGGAAGGACTGTGTCAGCTGCGGCATGGGGCAGGGGCTAGCTCTGTTCATTTTTTGGAGAATGTGGTTGACATTGTATTCAGTGTATGTTGAAATAAGAATTGTTTTTATAGAAATTCCATTCTATTATTTGTCAAATTTAGAAGTAACTCATTAGAATTTCTTGATCTTGTCAGGTGGAAGACTTCATCACACCACTCCTTGTAAAACCCAATGGAGGTTTTGCTTACTGTAACCGAAGGCTGTGGGTAGAGATGTGAGCCGAAGGGGGTCTTCCAGACAGCACTGCTTCACCACAGGCCCCTACCAGAGTGCAGCTGGGGAAAGCTCTGGAACTGAAACTTGTCTCCTGGAATTGCCACAGTATTTGTCATTGTGGACTGTGGCTCACTTTGAGCAAAACACAAAGTGGTTGGAATATAGTTTAGCTGTGACTGTAGCAGGGATGAGGCTGGTAGGTCTGAGGGGAGATGGGAGCTCTGGGAAGCACTTGGAGCCTCTAGTATGGTGTCAGTATGACCCAAGAAGAACTGTAGCTTAAACCGTAGGCTCTCTGTTGGTGAGGATATTGGGGTTTTGGAGTAAGCAAATGTTAAAGTAATGATGATGAACATTTATGGCAACTATTATGCCTACAAACAATAAGTGGTGTTGAAGATGTGGGGAAAAGGCACTCTTACATACTGCTGGTGGGACTGCAAACTGGTGCAGCCAATATGGAAAGCAGTATGGAGATTCCTTGGAAAATTGGGAAGGGACCCATCATCTGACCCAGCTATCCCTCTCCTTGGTCTGTACCCAAAGGACTTAAAAACAGCATACTACAGGGACACAGCCACATCAATGTTTATAGCAGCACAATTCACAATAGCTAATAGGAAAACTGTGGAACCAACCTAGATGCCATTTAGTAGATGAATACATAAAAAAATGTGGCATATATGCACATTGGAATTATACTCAGCAATAAAAGAGAATAAAATCATGGCATTTGCAGGTAAATGGATGGAGTTAGAGAAGATAATGTGAAGATAGGCAATCCCCAGAAAACAAATGCCAAATGTTTTCTTTGATATAAGGGAGTTGATTCATAGTGGGATAGGGAGAGGGAGCATGGGAGGAATAGACAAACTCTAGATAGGGCAGAGGGGTGGGAGGGGAAGGGAGGGGGCAGGGGATAATTAATGATGGTTGACTGTGATGATCATTATTATCCAAAGTACTTATATGAAGACACAAATTGATATGACTATACTGTGTATACAACCAGAGATATGAAAAATTGAGCTTTATATATGTACTAAGAATTGTAATGCATTCCAATGTTATGTATAAATAAAAATAAATAAATAAAAAAGCTTAAAGTAGAAAAAGTCGTGTTAAGGCCTACAGAGGTAACATGCCTGCCCTTTTTACTTCATTACATTTTCTCAAAAATGTACTGCAGACAGAAAGGGCTCAGCGAGCACTTGGTGAAGGAAGAGGAATTGGATGTTTGCTTTAAATAAAACCAGCGTAGTTTCAAATTTTCCTTGTTTAAAATTTGAGTATATTGGAGTGTAAAACTTGTAGAATCTCCACAAGAATATCAGTAGGAAATGAACACCTCAAGCTCTGATTTGATTAAAACCATGAGATGATCAGAACCTAGATAGGATTCTTCACAGTTCTTCATCATTTTAGATACTTTAGCATAAATTACAGTATATTAATTTAAAGCACAGTTCCTGAGATTTATGACTTCAAAGTTGAAACATATGGCTTTGTAATATTTGTTTAGATACTGAAATTAGTTGGATTCCCTAAAAAAATTCTGAAAGAAAAACTAACTTATAAATGTGTTTATTACATTGAAGATGGGACCAAATTGAATCAGGAGCATAAATTTGATGTTTTATAACAATGTGTTATATCCTGGCAAAATTAAAGAATTTCATTGGTATACATAAACTCAGCAGAGAAATGAATAATAATCAGTGTTTATGAATTATAATTAATGGATATTTGTGAATGATATAAAAATCTATAAGATATTTGTCTTCATTTTACTCTACTCAGGGCCAATTCTTTTTTTTTTTTTTTAAAGAGTGAGAGAGGATAGAGAGAGAGAATTTTTAATATTTATTTATTTTTTGTTCTCGGCGGACACAACATCTTTGTTGGTATGTGGTGCTGAGGATCGAACCCGGGCTGCACGCATGCCAGGCGAGCGCGCTACCGCTTGAGCCACATCCCCAGCCCCCTAGGGCCAATTCTTTAAGTGTAACTTTGGTAGAAGAATCTTTGAGTTTAAATTAGATTTTCGTTTGAATGGAATACTGTAGTAGTAAGTGATTTTTGAAAGTTCTTGGCTGATTTAACCTTTCAAAATAGCCTGAGGCATTATGTTTGGGATCAAAACTACCAGCATTCTTTAAATAAGGAGTTGACGTTCAGGATTAATAATACGATTTGAAAACATAAACTTGGCACCAAAGAGGTCCATTATCGACAGCATAAAGGTTCAGGGTTCTCGGTGGACTTTACTTTCAGAGTCTACAGACTGTCCTGTTTAGGCTTACAAAGGTAACATGCCTGCCCTTTTGCCTTCCTACCTCTGGTGGAAACAGCTCACCTGGTAGCTGATACGTGAGGCACACAGTTATGCGGACACCAAGGCCAGGTTGGAGTCCCCCATCTGTTGTGCTGCGTTTAACTTGTAGCACTTGTTTCCTATTGGTGAATGAGTGAGTGTCTTTCTTTGGATTATTGCAGAAGCAGGTTAATTATCACACACTTTGGAGCATTGCTATTGGAACTGGAATTCTGAATACACAAAAACATGTTTCTTCAGATCATGTATTTGGTATGGCTCAATGTTGTACTTTCTTGACTTGGTTTGCATCTATAGGAGAGGAGTGAAATTGCTGTTTTAACTTCATTACCTTCATTAGTGTTATTGTTATATTTGACTATAAAAAATAAATAAATGTGCCATAATCCCAGGAAGTGAATAAAATACTGCTCTAGCTTTATGGACCCAACTTGAAATTAAATTATCATTATTATTCCCAACAGCCAGCAGAATAAAAGGGACATCTTTCCATTTAAAATAGGATTTTGACTGTGGAATTATGTATATTTTCATTTTTCTGGGATTAAAAAATGGCTTCCGATATTTTATAATTTAGTGTCATGTTAGAAATTTCATTTCATGATCATTTGTTCATTCACATGTATTTTTATTTTTAGCTCTAAGCGAAAGACATGAGGCCTCAGCCTGAAATGAGGTGTGGTTTTGAGGTCATCCGAAGTGTGCGGTCGCCTCGTCCTGAAACCACTCCACACAGAATGGTAATGGCAAAACTTGAAAGAGAGAGAGAGGGGCCTTCACTCTTCTATGTCTGTTCCCTGTCCCACTTCCTTCCTTTCTAAGACTTAACAATATTTAAAGGTAGGGATAAAGGGCATTAAATAACATACTGACATATCCTAGCTAAACTGGTTCAAAATTTTAATAGTAAAATTAATATCATAAATCCCCAAGCTAATCAAACCTTTTGGAGTTGTTTAAACATATTTTTAAGTGAGATTTTGAGCTACTTAAATAGCAGAAAAATATTTACCACATGAAAATAATCTGAGTCAGTAGGAATTTATGGATTGAAAAGTTTTTTTCTTTGAAAACCAGTAGGATTTACTCTTAAACAAAAGCTGATCTTGTCTCAATAAAATTTTCAGATTCGAAAATATGGATTCTTGCCATAATGCTCTTTTCCTGTGTAAGAATATTGATGTCTTAAGCATGTGTGTGTGTTTGTTTTTACTTTTCAAATCATAAAGTGATCATTGAGAATGTTAGTTATGTCAGTTAACTTTGCTTTAATTATTTTACATATATCCATAACTGTTTTAATTAATGCAGATTTAAAATGATACCCTTTATAGTTGAAGGTAGTAAACTTTTTTTTGTTTTGTTTTGTTATGGTAAAACTTACTTGGGGCATGTCTTAATTATTAAGTCTATTCTGAATGCCAGTATTCTGTTAAATACATTAAGGTAGCAGTGCTTACAAAACCAGCACTAGGTGTAACTATTGTAGGAGTAGAATTTCAATAAGGTTCTTTGCTCAAATTCAGATTTTATACTGAGCCATTAGTACAGATGGGGGTTCTTTATTTCATTTCCTGTATTACATGTAACAGCATTGATAGCAAAATAGCATCACAAATTGACTTCTGTTTACTCTAAATTGTGCATTTGTTTAACTAGATGAGATGCTGAGAAAATTAAATTTTGGCCCTGTCTGAAGGGCTATACAGAAGGCAAATTCTAAATTCTGTTCAGACAGTATTTTTATTTCTTAAAAAGTCATGTTTATTTTCATGCTTTCTTCTTAGAGGTTGTCACTATAGTTCTGTACATTCCCTCATTACTCCACAGTATTTTCTTACCCCCCCTAATCCTAGATGTTGAGTATGACTTAAAATTTAGGAAATATGTCCTGTTTCTTCATGTATGTGACTTGCTATAATGATAGGCAGAATTGTTCACATGCACTGAGAAAAAAACTATTGGGTGCTCAGCCACAGAAGCCTGGGTGCTGTTGGGTTACCTAGGAGTGCTCTCAGCTTGTGTTCATGGGCCAGCCTTGCCTTCTTCTAAAGAAGAAAGTCCTTTGTTTTATCATCACTCCTATAATTATCTACTTCTCCTGGACATATGAACTCTGAACTCTTGGTTTTCTGTAGGGTAGAAGCTGATCTAAGTAGTTTTCTCTTTCTTTTTTCTTTTTTTGGTATTAGGGATTGAACCTAGGGGGCTGTCTGCTACTGAGCTAATACCTGTTTTTATTTTTTATTTTGAGACTCTGTAAGTTGCTCAAGCTGGCCTCAAACTTGCATTCCCCCAACTTGCAGTCCTCCTGTTTCAGCCTCCTGAGTCACTGGGATTGTACACTCAGGCCCACCACACCCAGTAGTAGCATGGTCTTTAAGTAGAAGAGTTTTTCATATGATTTGTTTTTCTGTATTAATAGTGTCTTAATAAGAAACAATTACAGCTGTCTTTTTGGAAATTCTGATTTTTTTCTATTTACCCAAAGTTTTTTCCTTTTTCATAAAAAGTCTTAACTAGATTGGACCTTTTTGAGGCTAGAAGAATATCGAAGAACATCTTTCTTATTTCAATACTAACCACTGTTATTGGCAAAAAAAAAAAAAAGTAGTTTATAACGACATGAATAAGAATGAAATCTATAACTTGATTTAAGTATCTGGATGTCTTTCACCATAATAGCTTTTAAAAGTAAAGATAGAACTAATGCCACTTTAAAGCCTGAAATTGTATATGTGAAAAATCTTTAACCGAGTAAATACTGGATAAATAATTAGTGTGTATGCATATAGTTTAATATTTGCTGTACATAAACTTACTAATAGTAGATTTAAAAGGTTCTAAGTGTAAAATGAGAAAAAGCATTAACATTAAATGTTTCAAAAATTATAAAAGTAAGTACCTTTCTGAGAAAATCTTTTCCTTTGACACTGTTTAATTTTTTTCCCTTTTTTGTTTTTTAGGTTTGCAATTTTTTTTGGTGATGGCATGTTCAGAATCTTGGATCCTTAAATTGACCATATTGGAAATACTTAGGAACCTTGGAAGTTAATGTTGTTTTTGAATCTATAAATGACTTACTAGGTGAATTAGTAGATTTAATAAAAGTATATAAAAGAAGTTTGTTCCTGTAAGTCGGCCTGATGTCTCATACTCTGGAGATAGTGGTCTTTTCTCAGCCTGGGGCATCATGGGCCTCCTGTTTTCCCACGCAGTTTATGGCAATCATCACACAACTGTTGGGTTAGCTTGTTTTCTTTTGCATCTGTCTGCCTTGCAGCAGGAAGTTACTTAGATCAGAGATAATTACTGATAAAGGATAAAGAAGAGAAAAAAGAAGTGAAATGACTATCCTAAAAGTGGTAATCATAAAATTTAAACCTGAAATTGTCCCAGTATGGTCAAGAATACACAGATCTACCCAAGTTATTCACAGAGACATTTCTAGCAGATGCTGCCAATTTGCAATATTAGCATCGTGTAAGGAGGAGGGAAAAGAGCTATGGTTTTTCACCTCCTCCCTTTCACTTCTCAGGTGAATGAATTAGTAGAAAGCAAAGTGGCTGAAAGGTAGGCAATGTAAGTTCAAAGGAAAAAGAAAAACAACTGAATCTTCGGGGAGGATTAGTTCCTTTCAGGGACCTATGGAACACATTTCCTGTTTCTAGCTGTGGACCCAGGTGTGGACACGGGTATTCTTGGGGCAGATGGAGAACTGTTGCTGGGTGCCATTCTTGGTGGTTGTCTTTTACCAACTTCTTCGGTTCCTGCTGGGATTAAAGGACTCTGGGAATGTTCTGGAACAGTAACTTTGACAGACAGGTTTTCTTAAGATTTCTTTTAGAAGGCTTTTAGAAGCTAAAGGGCTTATCCATTACTGTTCCCCTCCCCACCTTTGTTTTGCTTTGTTATAAGGAAAATTGACTGATGTATATTTAATAGAAGGAACATTGAGAACATTCGTTTTTTTTTAAAGCCACGTTACGTTTTAATATAAAACAACTGGCATTTTAAAATCTCTCCATCTGTGATACTTTTGTCAATTCTAGCCACACTATTGACTGGGCTTCGGCATTTGATATACCCAGAAAGAATTAGCCAGGCTAGAAAATCATGGTCCCCCCTGGAATGAATGTTTTAAAAACCTTCTTAAATTCTGAAAACTGTGACTACAGATGAAAGAGACCCAAGAGGGTGAAAAAATTAAGAGTCTGACAATAAAGAGTGTGGGTAGGGCCGGGGTAGATTTTGTGGAGGTGACCTAGAGTGCACTGGAGGAGGAGGTCATGTGGCAAGGTGGGGCTGGGGTGGTGGGGGCAGGGGCCATCCTCTGTTCTTCAGGTAGCTCCACTAGTGTGCTGTAGTATTGTAAGGATAGTGATATGGAAATAAACAGGTGCATTACCTAACAGTGAGTTTGATTTTGTTCTGGTGTGTTCCAAATGGTGATGTGACTCAAAAGATTAGCTTAACTTCAAGTAAATATCATAAATATTAAAGAAAATGTTTCTAGTTAAGTTCCTGTTGTACAGCTTAATAAAATAGACAACTAAGCATAGAGGAGAACGAAGCCATGTAAATAGTTGTGGTTGATGGTTGCTTCCTAGAAACTTAATAAAACATTCAGTTTTATGATTCACATTTTAGTATTCAGATTTTAGGTTGACCTCATTGTGCTATGGGAGTAGTTTAGTTGTCCATGGAAGTCCACAGCCTGCACATTCCTCAGCAGTTCAGAGATCTGGCTCCGTTTGCCCAAGGAGAAACAAAACTCTACTATGTGCCCAGGAAGCTAGAGAAAGTGAGCAGAAGCAATGGCCCTATGCAATGGAAGTGTTAGATCAGCTCCTCCTGGAAATCTGAAAGCATGGCTCCTGTTTTAGTCAGTCTTTTCTCCTCTGTGACCAAAAGACATGACAAAAACAATTCTAGAGAGGGAAGGATTTATTTGGTAATCACAGTTTCAGAGGTCTCAGTCCATAGATGGCCAGCTGTTAGCCAGAGGTGAGGCAGAACATCAAGGTGGAAGGGCCTGGTGAGGAAGGCAGCTCAGGACATGATAATCAGCATGACTTACCAAGGACAAAGTATAAACCCCAAAGGCATGCCCCCTGTGACTCCCCTCGGCCAGCCACACCCTACCTGCCTACAGTTCCCACCCAGTGAATCCAGTCAGGTGGATCAGTGCCTGATCAGGGTAAGGCTCTCACAACCCAGTCATTCCACCTCTCCGTTTTCTGAACTCTGGGGGACACCTCACATCCTAATCTTGGCTCTTTTCCCTGAGACTGCAGCACAGACATGGCATTTTGTGTGGTTCCTGTCCATGCAGGACATACCTTTGACTGCCTGTCAGGAAGCCCTGATCTGAAAGATTGTCCTCCCTTTACTTCTGCCCTTGCTTCAACTTTGCTCTCCCACTGTCGGTAGTTCTCTGTCACCTTGGAGTGGGATGTCCACCCTGGAAGGTTGTCGATTGCCTCTCCAAACAGCTCCTGCTCTGAGTTGAGAACTTCATAAAGAAATGGACCAGAACTCTCTGCAGAGGCTGCCCCCATTTAGGCATGTTCAAACTAGAGCCCAAGGCTTATACATAGTGATGCCTCTTGCTGGAGAAGGTTTTGTTTCACAGTAAGTGAAATATTGTTTTTAAAATGAGCATGCTTTTTCCCTAGAAATTCTGGTTATTATGAATTCTTTCTCCCTAAGTGTGAATTTTTCTCATATCTTGGGTGTAAAATGTGTACTTGAAGCTATAATAGTGGCTAGAAATTTGAGATACATTGTTTTGTGACTTTTAAATTTGTAGCACATTTTCAGGAAAATAGTCAAGGTTTCCAGATTCCATTTTATTCCTTTCAGATTTTGTGAATGTCTGATTATCTCTGAATTTTATTAATTCATTTATAAGTTTAGGAAAGACTATCTTCAGTTAGAAAAATATTTCAACACAAAGGTCCATTTGAACAGCTTCACAGTGAAATCGCAGACCATCTGCTTGTTATGTCATTCAGGGACTTTCCTGCAAAATTCAGCTTCACTCAGAAGGTCATCCTTGGAAAACGAAGAAGTCTGAAGAGTCTCTGCTCTTGAGATAAGTGAAGAGAAGGGCGTGTGTCCTCAGGGTAACAGTGCAACATATCCTGGAAGCATCTTGGACGGCATCACTGTTGGTACGTGAGGCAAGACTTGACTTTCATTTACGAATTGGACCTACAAGGTGTAAGCTAATCTATATAACAGATTTAATGTACACAAAATACAACCTTCACCCCAAAACATTTCTGTCAGTACAGTCTGTTGTTAATAACCCACACTGGCAGAGGGGAGCCTGGATCAGACAACTTAACTGAAGTCAGACAACATTCAGGATTTGAAGGTGTTTTTGTAGTTCATTTTAGCATACAGTGTTTGGGATTCTACACATGTGCCTTACAATTTTCTGTCCCCAGAGAGAGGGACCCGAGAGAGGAGCTCAAATTGATCCATGCTTCAGATACCCATTTTACTGGGGAGAAAACATCAAGAAAACATCAAGCACAAGATTCTAAAATAGGGTGGAGTCCTGTGACATTTCTTCTGCTTACACTTTCCAAGTAAATTTATTACATTTACTTCTAGCTCTTCAGAATGATGCCCAGTTTTAGTCACTGCCTTGGACCATCCAGGTCAGTCTTCCCTCCTGTGGTCAGGTGTTATTCTGCTGAAGATGAGAGCTTTTCAGCTGCTTCATTGTCAGAATGTGCCTACTGCCTTTTATTCTACCTCCCTTCCTATGGGGAGTAGACTTGTTCAAGTCATAGGTGTCTTTGGCCTCTAAGGTTTGCCTGTAATAATTCATGGATTCTAAATGTGGTCTTTTGGTTGTGCTGTTGAGGTGGTCTCCATGGGACAATTGCTCTTCTCTGGGCATGGCTCAGGGTGGTTTCCAGCCTTTCCTTCCAATCACTTCATTCTCCTCAGGCTGGGAGGGGGTCTTAGCACGCCCCAGGGGTGGGAGGATGCAGAGCTACTCTGGAAGCTGGCTAGCTCCTCCGTCAGTTAAGGAGATAGCTGAAGAAAGCCACCATTTACCTCAGGTGCTTTAAAAACACATGTGCAGGGAAGGCCAAGGTTTTAGGCCCACATGAACCCACATTGAATCTGCATTGTCTGTTCAGGTGTGTCTTACTTTAAAACAATTATAATAATAACAACCCTTTAAAAAAATCGTCACATACCACTGATTAAGATACTGAATTTTTTCTTGTAGTTTTCAGAAACATTGCAGATGTGTTTTGTGTAAGAGAATATATTGTATATAATAATTTTCTGACTCTTGCTCTAATAAAAATTAAATTGTCTATTCAAAACTTAATAGTTTTATTTTTGAGAAAATTTTAAAGCATGACTATTTTTACTTTTCATTCTCAGAAGCTTGTATGTGTGGTGTGCATGCGTCACATAATCAGGCTCCATCTCTTTTCTCCAGTGAGAGTCTCTGAACTGTTCTGAGCACTGTATGGTAGGGGGACCCCAAGGCATATCAGGCTTTTCTATGTGAGTAGCAGAAACTTTGTTCTAATGAAGTAGCTTGTACTTGAGTTTTAATAAGGATCTTTTTTGTTTAAAATATGCACACGAAGTAAAGGAAAGGAAATAGACAAAAACATCTACAAATAAGTCAATCTAAATCAGGGTCCGGAGCTAGTCTCCCTAAAGTTAACAGTGCTAGTGAGTCAGTAGGCATGGCAGGGACGAGGGTGGGGATGGGGGCTCCCTTCTGGAATCAGCAGCGGCGTGGGCAGTGTGTTCGCTGTGTGCTGTGTGTCTGAAGCCAACGTCAGGAGACCTTGGCTACTGAAAGTTCACCCCATGGCTCTGGCATAATTGGTGGTGGTGGTGGAGGAGTGTCCCTTTGCAGTAAAACAGGGACAAGGTAGGGACTTCAGACATTATTTTTGATAGAAAAATTCCTTTGTACTTTATGCCCTTTTCTTAGCTATATGTCCTCATTTTGTAAAATTAAGTTTATAGTCCTGAGTTCTCTAAAGGTACTTTTAAATTATTTAATTGGTCTGTAAAATCAAAAAGCTGAGCACAACTCTTTTCTTGGAACTATAAATATTAGCATGTTGAAGTCTTGGTTCTCTTC